CCACCCCATCTGCTGGTTCGACTAAGGCGTCAGCTCCTAGTGTTACAGGCCTACAGTGAGCCGCGTCTATGTGTGCCATGCGCCCTTCTAATGTGTAAATTTCTCCTACAAGAGCATTGACAGCACCAGTTAAATTTGCTGCGGTCATTCGCAAGAACTCCATCTGTGAAATAGCAGAAAAAAAAACTATTTTGTTGTGATTTACTTACTGGCTTCTTTTTAGATAGCCTTTTAGCTAATTTTTATTTTTCACTTTTATTTGGTATAACTTCTTTCCACTTTTCACAATCACTTAATCACTGATTTGATTATCCCGATTTTATTTTACTGCTAACACTACTGGTCCCTGCTCGGGCGCCAGTTAAGGAGTGAAGGTCCTGGACAACAAACAAAATTAAATGGCCAACTTGATCTGGAATTAAAAGAGGTAATTTAAACGTTATAATAAAAGGTCTTTATTGAGATAAGTAAATAAGCCTAATTGACAATAGTAACACCCCGATACAACTGCCGCTGCTCCGAGTTCTGCCGCCCTTTATAGCCTGTTCCGCTGCCGTTGTTCTATAGCCAGACATAGGCGACGTCAGTGAGCCGCCTTGGCCTTGAATTCCCACAGGTAACTTGGAATATGCAACACACTGATTTCACAACCGTGTGAAATGAAATTATGCTGACACCGCTGCAATGCCTAATGCATTGGCTCCGTTATAGTAATGGTTGCGTAAGCATTAGCCAGAGGTACTAACTGTGACGACGGTTCCCATAGGTGTCTGATAACGTTGTGCAATATTGCTATTGCATGATATGATGAAATGCATTTGGCCTTGACAAAGGTGTAGGATGTCAATTATGTTGTGAACCACAATTATGCTGACATGGCGCACGTGTATTGCTGGACTGTGAAAATGCAACATGTTGGGTGACGGCGGATGTGTTAACTTATATATAAGGAAAATTTGAAAGTTAGGGGGGGCGGCTCGAGCACCCCCCTGCCCCTACCTGGCTACGCCCATGAATATACAAAAAAAGGATGAAAGTCCTCAGAACTTGGAAACATAGCGGTGGGTGAATTAAAAAGTGTTACACCATGTTACAGTTTTGCTCGTCACTGTAGATTTGGTGTGTATACAGCATACACCCGCACATACATGCTCTTATGTACATAATTTTGTACGTAACGATATACCCCCATGCATTTCGGTCATATGAATGTCACGTTCTGAGATTCCCTGTGAGTAGTCGACAGGTGCTGAGAGGATAGCAAAAACCAGTTTGGCGCGGCGGTCATAGAATTCAGACGGAAAGTTATTGACGAGCGGCGGAATTAGCGGAAAAAAATTATTAAGTTTTGCTTTCGGAATTTCGGCATACATAAGTATATGTGGGTAACAGGAAGATCCAACTTCCGAATTGGCTCTCAAGCCAAGATCGCTGGGTAGGCTTAAGCAGTGAAACGAATTTTTTTCCCCGCGGATCTTTGAACCTAGATATGTGGATAAATCGAAATTTTCCCGTAATATTTTTATTAACATTTAACGGACAAAATTACGCTGAAAAAAAGAATACAAAAGGAAAAAGGTAAAGTTTAATTATGTGAAATGTATAATATAAAATTATATGTGTTCATACGTACATACATATTATTAGATCTGAAGGAAAAAAATAGTGTACATAAGAAGAATTTGCTTAAGTGAGAATAACGAGAACCGGTATCGGTACATAGCAACCCGTTAATAATTACTAAAATTGTGAGAAAATCTCATGCGAGGTAAGACACGGTAGTGAAATGTTATGACTAGAGAAAAAAAAAACTAATTAAGATATTCAATTTGCCCGAAAGCCGATTTTGTTTAGTGTGTCAACCTCAAAACCAGTTATAAAATCCCAGTTTTGAGCAAAAAAGAAGAAATACGTAAAAGGATTTTTTTGTGTAGATTATATTGTTGCCGCCGTTCCTAGTGGGTACCCAATACGTAAGATTTACTAGTGGGTACATAGACATAAGCGGTATATTTCCAAACACATTAATGTATGTATTTTTCTAACTATTGTACACAAGACACTTGCAGTGGCGTGATAAAATAATATAAAGGCAATAACGTTCGTTACGGGACAGTTCGTCTGCATACGCCAAAAGAAACAAATGTTTTTAAAGTAGTATAAAGTCATCTTCGAAGAAAGAATAAAATTAATTACTACTGAAAAAAGTTGTTTGAATTAAAGGCAAGCTCGTGAAGTAACAAATTCTTTAAAAACATTTTCCTCTACCGCGGTACGCGTATTCATTACATATTTAAATTTTTTATATAAAGAACTCCAAATGGAAAGTCAAGGAGACTTATGCGGTGAATTCAATTGCCACAAGTGCAACGAAAAGGATAACAGCCGTATGGTACAATGTGACCAGTGCGACAAGTGGTACCATTTCACCTGTGTCGGGGTTAACAGCGGAATAGAAGACGAGAGCTGGAATTGCGCCAAATGCAATCCGCAAACTTCCAACGCAACTACGAGTGCTGCAGCTCCCCCGAACAAAGCACGCAGCGAAATAGTACGAATACCTAGTTCACATTTATTGCAATCAACATCCTCACCTACACAGGAAGCACCGCCTTTAAATCCATGGAGCACAGCTGACGGTTACACTGGGACAGCTACACATACGAGTGGTCCCAATCAATTGGTTACCACTCCGCTGCACCTCCCGGCATCAGCTTCCGCAGCCAATTTGCCAGTACCCCCGCGCTTTGTGACAGCACCACTAACTGCAGGACATCCAAACTACGTGACAACACCTGCGCAAATAGCAGCACGACAAGCCATTCCAAAGGAGCTTCCGCATTTCCATGGCCACCCGGAGGAATGGGCCCTGTTCATTAGTAGCCTTGAAACCAGCACGGAGATCGCGGGCTATGCAAATGCTGAGAATCTAATGCGTCTACAAGCCTGTTTAAAAGGTAAAGCCAGAGAGATGGTTCAAAGCAAACTATTGTTGCCGGCAATGGTCCCGGAAATCATTCAAACTTTGCGCATGTGCTTCGGCAGGCCAGAGCTAATAATTGAGAATTTGATCGAAAAGGTGAAAAGGGTTCCACCTATAAAAGAGACTAGATGGCCTCATAGACTTTGCGCTCTGCGTGCGCAACGTGTACTCCACGATGGAATCCTGCCGCATGGGGGCTTATATGAATAACCCTACTCTAGTGAAAGATTTGCTGGACAAGTTGACAAACAACCACAAGCTTGCTTGTGCTATGCATCCGAAAGGACAACACGAGCCAATAGTAAAAATATTTAGTGACTGGCTCTAAGCACTTGCTGAAGCAGCGAGTCAAGTAGTCGGATACACTACTCCGAAAAGAGGCGGGATTATCAACACGCACATGCAAACACCCAACGCACAACGAGATGTCACCTGTAGCCACTGTAAAGCTGGTGGACCGAGTGGCACAGCGCCAGGACTTTAGAAAGCTGAGTTCAACTTGCAGATGGGATGTTGTCCGCGCGTTAAAGTTATGTCGCCAATGCCTTAACGCTCACCGACGCATATGCTTCGTAGCCAGGACCTGCGGAGTGGAAGGTTGTAAAGCCAAACATCACCCGCTCCTGCACGAAATTACGGCCCTGAACTCACAAAACAGCCATGACTACCCTAGCGTGACAGCCAGCGGAAGTGTTAACTCACACAACGACACCAGACGAAAGTCTTCTCCCTACTTTCGCATCTTGCCGGTTCGTATATATGGAAATGGAAACTATATTGATACATTTGCCTTTTTAGACGAAGGTTCATCAGTAACCCTCATCGAAGAAAAAATCTTCAAGCAACTAAACCTGACAGGTGTTCCCGAACCATTATGCCTTCGCTGGACTAGCGACAATACCCGTAATGAAGATGCATCTGTGAGAACTTCGTTCACGATCAGTGGCACACAGCATAACAAAGCGTTTAACATTACTGGGGTGCACACCGTGAGCCATCTCGGTCTGCCAAGGCAAACTGTTGACATGGCGAAAATTACCAAGGATTACCCATATATGACCGGCCTATCAATACAATCATACGTTAACGCGAAGCCGACATTGCTTATTGGCTCCGACAATTGGCAAGTGGCCGTACCGCTTAAGATTCGAGAAGGTAGTTGGTGCCAACCGATAGCAACGAAGACTAGATTGGGTTGGGCTATACAAGGTCGTTGTAACGGTTCATCGTCGAACGCGCGCCTAAACGTACATACATGCGCGTGCAAAGCCGAAAATGAAAGACTGCACGAAATGGTTAAGGAGAATTTCCAATTAGATGACCCCAAACCAACGATGCTGCGCTCACCCGATGACCAAGGGCAGTAGCCATACTTGAATCGACGTGCAGAAAAGTTAACAACAGGTACGAGGTTGGACTACTATGGCGACACGAGGAAATCAGATTGCCCGACAGCTACGAAATGGCTTACAAACGCCTCGTGTGCCTCAATAACAAATTTCGTAAGGATCCGTCACTAAAGGTAGCTATTCAGAAGCAGATCGACAACCTTTTAACTAGGGGCTACGCAAAGAAGTTGAGCACAGCTGAGCTAGTAGCACATAAAGGACGCGTGTGGTATATGCCAATATTAAACCTGGGAAAGTGCGCCTAGTCTGGGACGCTGCAGCTAAAAGTAAAGGCATAGCGCTCAACGACACCGTTCTAGGCGGGCCCGATTTTTTGATCCCTTTAGTCGACATCTTATTGGAATTTCGCATCGGAAAGGTGGCCTTGGTTGGACAAGGAGGACGACATTAGCCAACCAAGCGTCTACGTCATGCGCGCCCTCACGTTCGGTATTAGCTGCGCTCCGTGCATCGCACACTATGTGCGCGACAGAAATGCGCGAACACTTTCGTTCAACAATATCCAGAAGCCGTCGATGCTATAAAACGTTACCATTACATTGACGACTTTATCTACAGTGGGGATAGCGAACAGGCTGTCATAGAACTAGCAAAAACGGTGAAACATATACACGCCTCAGCCGGATTTCATATTCGCAACTGGGCATCAAACTCAGCAGCGGTCTTAAAACATATGGAAGGCAGTTGTAATAGGGCTCAGGAACCATTGCAGTTGAATTCGAACGAAAAGATTCTAGGATTCTATTCAAATACGCGTTCAGGTTCACAAGACTAAGGCGAAACGTTGTAACAAGTGACACTACACCAATCAAGCGCGAAATCCTTCAGGTCTTAATGTCAATTTTCGACACTCTTGGTCTTTTATCTCACTATACAATAACACTAAAAATGTTACTCCAAGAAATATGGCGCTCAGACATTGACTTGGACGAGGAGATCGACGCCGCAATGGAGTCAAAATGGTGCCAGTGGAAGACCGCCCTATCAGCCATGACCAAAGTTGAAATACCCAGACCCTACTCATCTTATCTCCTGCACGAAACTGTTCAACTGCATACCTTCGCAGACGCCGGCGAATTCGGCTACGCAGCGGTATGCTACCTGCGCGTCAAGAGTGGCTCCCATATCGACGTTTCTATTGTAGCCGCTAAATCAAAGGTAGCACCTCTGAACCCGGTATCAATCCCCCGCCTGGACCTTCAAGCAGCAGTACTGGGCGCGAGACTGGCTTTAAAGATATAAGGCATACCACGGCTACAAATAAAAAAGAAAATATTCTGGACAGATTGAACAACGGTACTGAAATGGTTTGGTATTGATCCCCGACAATTCCGCTAATTCGTAATGTTTCGAGTTGCTGACATCTTAGAGCGAACGAATTTGAACCAATGGAAATGGGTACCATCGCTTTTAAACCCTTCGGACCTGGCAACTAAGGTTGACTCTAAAATTGACACAAGCCTTTGGTTTAATGGACCAACATTCTTGCAATACGATGAATGCAAGTGGCCCTACCGCGACGACTTGGGATCAGTCGACAACAGCGAAGTAAAAAATCACTTACTACATATCAGGAAGTTGGAACAGAAGAAACTCACTATCAACTTCGAGTATTTTTCAAACTGGAGAAGGCTGTATCGTGCGCTGGCTAGATTCATTCTTTATATAGGGAAAGTCAAAGCAAAGTCTCGATCACGGGAGCTGCCCAACATGGTCACGTTTGAAATGGTTAAAGCAGCAAAAACGGCACTAATAATTCAGGCGCAGCTTAGCGAGTACGGAAACGATCTACTTAACCTAAAAAGCGGTAAGAGTCTTGAAAAAAGCAGTAAATTAAAAGCGCTTGATGTATATGTAGATGAGTTTGATGTCGTACGTGTTCGAGGTCGGGCCGAATTCCTCGCAGCTCGCAATGCTGTGGTTCTGCCGGGTAAACACCACATCGCCTACCTTATAGTTAAAGACGCCCACGAAAGGTATCAGCACATATCACATGAAACTGCAATAAATGAATTAGGAGGGGGATTCCACATACCGCGGCTCCGTGTCCTGTATCGTATGGTACGTCGAATGTGTCAAACTTGCAAAAATAAATTTGCGACACCTCGTCCTCCAAAAATGGCTCCCTTACCTACCGCTAGACTCGCAAGCTTCGAACGACCGTTTAGATACTTTGGTATCGACTATTTTAGCCCAATATTCGTCGTTGTTGGTAGACATCGAGAAAAACGTTGGGGCGTAATCTTCACGTGCCTCACGGTTAGAGCTATCCACGTAGAGATCGCCTACAGCCTTGACACAAGCTCCTGCGTCTTATGCTTACGTCATTTTATTTCACTACGCGGAGTACCGCGAGAAATCTACACCGATAACGGTACGAACTTCAAAGCGACCAGCAATATCTTGCGTATCGAAGCAAAGCAAGTAGACTACGCAACTATGCAGACAAAATTTGACAATATCAAGTGGAACTTCAACCCACCGGCGGCGCTTCATATGAGCGGGGCGTGGGAACGTCTTATAAGGTCGATCAAGACCGTGTTAAATGAAATGCATCCCGAGCATAACTTTAATGATGAAACCCCTCGTAGCGCTCTCTTAGAAGTCGAGTTTATGATCAATTCAAGACCGCCTACTTTCGTTACCATAGACGGGTGCGACGATGAAGCGCTCACGCCGAACCACATTTTATTGGGCTCATCCTCCGGCTACAAACCAATCGTAAGCGGCGGAGACCTGTGCCAACGCTATCGTCAAACGCAACTGTATGTGAATAGGTTCTGGCAGAGATGGGGAAAGAGTATCGACCGATCCTAACGCGGAGAGCCAAGTGGTTCGAAAAGCAACCCCCTTTAAAGGTTGGCGACGTAGTGGTAATTGTCGACGAGTCTATGGCAAGGAACTGTTGGCCGAAGGGCATCATAGTGGACGTCGTCACAGCAAAGGATGGCCAGGTGAGGCGCGCAACCATGAAAACAGCACGCGGAATTCTGGATCGACCTGCCATAAAACTAGCTGTGCTGGACGTCGGCAATCCGAAGAAGTATGCTCGGAGGACTCGCTTACGAGGGAGGGAATGTTGCCGCCGTTCCTAGTGGGTACCCAATATGTAAGATTTCCTAGTGGGTACATAGACATAAGCGGTATATTTCCAAACACATTAATGTATGTATTTTTCTAACTATTGTACACAAGACACTTGCTGTAAATATAGTAGCGTGATAAAATAATATAAAGGCAATAACGATCGTTACGGGACAGTTCGTCTGCATACGCCAAAAGAAACAAATGTTTTTAAAGTAGTATAAAGTCATCTTCGAAGAAAGAATAAAATTAATTACTACTGAAAAAAGTTGTTTTAATTAAAGGCGAGCTCGTGAAGTAACACATATTAATCTTTCGACTGTGCTCTTCTGTTATTGTCAACATTAACAGCCATATGAACCGCAACATAAATACGGATGCTAACAGCAAAATAAGCTGCATCGTCTGCAACTCTAGCAACATTTCTAGCCGCTTTGTATCTACCAACACTATGAAAGATCTTTCATCGTGGAAGCAACGCAACACTTTGTAAGTCAATTGAACTCTTATACATAATTACTTTTGATATTAAATGCATATAAACATTTAGGGCCGGTTACTCAATATCTGGTTAACACTAATCTGCGGTTAAACATGGTTATCCACGTCTTCGACTCCATGCATACAACAGGGAGTCGGTAACGTCGATAACGATGTTTAACCGGAGATTAGTGTTAACCAGGCATTGAGTACCCGGCCCGAAATGTTGGCAATCGATCGAGGCATCTGAGCGAAAGAAACATACATATACATACGTATATGCAGCTCTTATTGTTTTTAACTTAGTGTTTTTTTTCTTCGCTTATAGTTTTTAAATAATTTAGGAGCTTAAATACTTATAATATATAGGTTTAATTTAACGTTTCTCTATAAAGCTTAAGCGGTAACTGCGAGCGGGTACATGCGTGACCGTATATCATTCAATTAGTTTTAAGTAATGAATTTGAATTAATAATAAATTTGTAAATATGGAGTAAACATAATTTCCTTGATTTCGTGCTATCGGTAGAGGGGTATGGTGATGGGAGGAGGGATCACCCCAATCTAAGTTTTTCCACTGGTTATGCGGGTGATCACGGTTGGGTGGGCGATATTGGTTGGTAATTTGATTTAAGCCAACCATGGCAAATACGCTAGGAATCTTCTTTACCTATCTTCCTTGATCTATCTTCTTTTAATTTAAACCTCAGCACGCGGACATTTAAAGTTTATTTAAGCGTGTGGTAGTGGGTTAGGCAGGTCACAAGCGGCAAGAAGACTACCCCTCTTAGCCGACGAGACAGGAGCCGGAAGCGAACGCGTGCCGCCAGCTTGTGCTTGCAATCAAACGGTTTTTTTTTGGTGTTTGAACCTACATACTTACAGCTGCCACAGTTATATGCTACAGAAATAAATTTTTGGCGCCCAACATGGGGTCCCAACATCAATATCTCTCGTATTAATACATAAACGCGAATTTGAATAATTTGTTTTTAAATTTGGGTTGTGGGTCTCCGAACGAATTTCTTCTTCCTTTCCATGATTTTTCCCTTTTATCTATCCATTTGGCAACCTAGATTACCATTGGACATCTTAGTAAATTTCTACGGTAAAAAAGCCAATGGAAAAAAAAGTATCTAACTATTCGTTGTCTTCTATCAGTTGTCTTTTAATTATTTTCTTTAAATACGCTGGAAATACGGGAGGTGTGGTCTCGAACTACCCACTGGCTGCGTATTAAGATATAATTCGATATTTCTTTCTTTAGGAACTTTCTAGTTTGGGAAACGAAGATATACAGACTTAGTCGAACTAGTTACCAGAGAAAGGTAATCTTAGCCTTTCACTCTTATTCTATTTCCAGCTTTGTCTTCCTGATTTGCCGAAAATATGGCTGACTTCCAAAACGTCAATTGCTTTGCATACGTACAAAGTATAAGGTTCCAAAACGTCCAACTACAAAATATTGACAATGTATACTGTTCCAAAACGCAGCCGAAAATTTATCGAAACGCATCGCTCGAGCAATCAGCGCACCCGAAACAAAGTTGATGCTTCGTTTGTTATTGGTTAGTATTGGTGTTTTAGAAATGGAAAATTCAGAAAAATTTTTCATTGCTATATTGAATATTTAAAATATGCAATGTATATGGTTGCAATGTGTCGCAACTCTGCATATAAAAATAGTTTGAATACCGCAGTATAACAGTTTCCAAACATTGTATTGATACGTTTTGGAAGTCAGCCTATATTTTTTCACCTCCCACACAGTACCGTAACACTCCTACCGATCAGCTACCGGAATCAATGAATTGTACAAATATTTGGTTGACAATCAACATTTTTCCGCCCTTCCAAACCGAACTAGATATTGTTGTCAACATCTCTTTATCACCATAAATTATTCGTTACAAGTCATCAAGCTAAACAATGTCCGTCAAAGGTAGTACAGAAGAGATAGCAGGTCAAGCAAGTGCAATGCACTGCCACATATGCAAAACCAACATTAGTACCGCGTCTCAATTGGCCACCGCCGTGTGCAGCCATACCTTTCATAAGTCATGTCTTTTTAAATACTCACAAACGCAGGATTTTTGCCCAGCTTGTTACACGAAGCTCGCTCCTCATAAAACCAAGACAACAGCGCCTACTAAGACTGTCTCCCATGGCCATAATACCAGGTCCCAAACACCTAGACGGACTGATTCTGTACCCCCGCTAGACGCCGACGATAGTAGTGCTACAGTCGCGGCCGCAGCTAGCGTTTTACAAATAAGCAAGTCGCCACGGAACTCTCCAGATCAGGTTCAAAATTTGGTGAATGCAGCGGTTGGCGCACAACAAGCGCATATGCTTACTGAATTAAGCCAGCAAATCAAGCAACTTGTCGAGACTAATATCGATGCAGGGTTAAGGAGATTCAGCATTCAAGCTTCTTCTCTAACTAACAATGCTTTCCCCACCAATTCTCGAGTTCAGACTTTGCCGGCCGTGGAGCAACAAACGTTTGAACAATTGCTTGGCTTACCACCAACTGTCAATACCGAACAAGTACCCACACATCTTGGACAATATGGAGATCAAGCTGATTCTGATTTGTCTTTTAGACCGGATAAAGTCGGTCTCATAATTTATAACTGGAAAGTTAAATTCACGGGGGGCACAGATGGTCTCTCGGTTGAAAATTTCATTTATCGCGTGGAAGCCTTAACATTACAAACTCTTGGCGGAAGTTTCTCTCTGTTATGTTGCTACGTCAGTTCACTTTTCGATGGCAAAGCAAGCGATTGGTTTTGGCGTTATCACAAGGCTGCACGTAACATTCGTTGGCAAGACTTGTGCAATGCGTTACGCCTCCAATACAATGACACTCGTACTGATGTAGATTATCGCGAAATGATAAGAGGAAGCAGAGGGCAAACGAAACATTCGATTCTTTTTATGATTCCATATGCTAGATAATAGACCGATTATCAGAACCTATTCCAGAGCAATCGTTAGTAGAGATACTACGCAGAAACTTACTACCTGAAATACAGCATGAATTCCTTAATCTTCAAATTTTTTCAGTTTCTCGTCTAAGAGAAGTTCGTAGGAAGCGCGAGTTTTTCTTGGACGACTTGAAAAGACGACATTCCACACATATAACAAGGCAAAACCCCATACGGAAATATGTTACTGAAATTAACAGTGAATCTGATATCCCTGATAATAACGAGGAAAGTACCTTCGTTATGCCCACCGAAAACGAAGTATCCGCTATTACGTTAACTTGTTGGAATTGCTCGCAACCTGGCCACCGCTACCAAGAATGCTTAGGGGAGCGAAAAGTTTTCTGCTACGGATGTGGGAAACCAAATACCTACAAGCCTACTTGCACAAGCTGTAGTAAGCCAAAAAACTTGCAAGGGAGTGCACCGACGAGTGCACGCAAACCGAACCAGGTGAACAACGCCAACTAAATAACTCAGACTCAATTCCTGAAATTTACTTAGATTCCGAAACTGAAAATCCTAAAACAACTAGTCCATTTAAGCCATATCATATTCGCGTAGCTGAATACGAACAAGCACGTGAGAAAATCTTCCAGAACTCTCAAGTTTTTAAGCCATCGCGCTCATCTCGGTCTAGCACTCGTATGCGATCATTCTGGAACAAAGTTCGTGGAAATCGTGAGAGGTTTACGCTTAAATTAGTGGTGACATAACCATAACTATATAAAACAACTGTTCCAACCAACCTTATGGGCAAAACTGTATTCGATTAGTGGTGCCATACCATAACGCCATAGCTATAGAGGCCCATTGAATTTTGGTTTTCCGCCATAACCATAAACAGCTGATATCTGAATTGCGTCATTTTGCGCTTTTATTTTTCGCGTCACTTTGCAAAAGGTTATTTTTTCAGTATATTGTCTAATTTGTTTCGTTTTTTCGCGTTCGGTGCAGTTTACAATTAATCCTGTTGCAACTAATCTTTTCACAAGACATACGATCTCAATTTCCTCATTTAGTCACATTCATGTGTAACACCAAGCAGTGGGATAACCTGGCGCTCGAATGAACGATGTATATTGGAAAAACCCCACTCAAATCGCAAAAAAAAAGAATTGTTGCACTTTTCATTATGTAAGTTTTAATTTGTATTTTTTCGCCCGTGCCTTTCATTTTCATGGTGTTAATATATTATTCAGTTTTTCCGCGTTCAGTATTTGAGTATTAGCAATGGATGATGAAAAGCTTATTGAGTCTGTCCGGAGCTGTCCCTGTTTGTACGATAAAAGTCATACAGACTTCAAGAACCCGGAGAAAAAAAGACGAGCTTGGCTGGAAGTTGCCAACAGTTTGGAAGTTAATGGTAAACGTAAATTAGTTGAGCGTTATTACTTATAAGATGTTTTTATATTCTTAATAGAATCCATTGTCATGAAGCGGTGGGGAAATTTGAGAGAGCGCTTCAGCAAGGAAATTAGAAACTCCTCCTCAGGAAGTGGCGCGCTTTTGGGAAGGCAGTGAGTGCTATTAGACAGCCTGCAGTTTCTAAGAAGTCATATTATTCCTAAACCGTAAGTAACATCCATTAACATTATACATACATATGTAACAACTAGCATGAATCGCGGCTCCCCCCGTTGATCCTCAACCAACTATACTAATTTTCACATTTATAATATTGAGTAGGATTATGACGAAAGTATTTTTACAGAATGCGACAAAGTGCGCCATCATTGCAAACAAATGATGTAAGTGGCGAAATTTTAGACATACTTTGCGATTCCGCCTTGCTTGCGCAGTCACCTCAAATTTCCCCTGCGCAGTCACCTCCTAAGTCAACTTCAATTCCATCTGCGAGGAGCCGCACAGGATGACGAGTTAGACACTGCAATACTGGATACCGTAAAAACTTTCCAGGAGGTATGTGCACGTAAAGGTAATCGAGAAGGGTTTAGTGCGGAGATAAGTGGTTTTGGGAAAATGATATGTTCTGCCATTTCCAAAATGAAAAAGCCTAACCAAGCGCTAGTGATGCGTCGATGCACTGATATTGTTATGCAAGCGCAGATTGACGAGCATGAAGAAGTACAAGAGGAACAAAACTATTCAACTAAAGACTAGTATAACTATATTATTAAGTATTGACTATTAGACCAATCAGAATGAGCACATTGCGTCCGTGTACAAAAATGACATGTCGCACAGAACGTAAAGAGATACAACAATGAGAGCGTCGGTGTAAACAAATCAGTATGATACTTCTCCGCCACGGACGCAGTGCTAATTCTGATGGGCCTACATGTCGATGGTTGAGTGCACACTTTTTGCCACATGAAATTATTACTAAGTCAGTAAAGCACAGCAGCTATCTATATATTTGACTGATACAATACTGAGCAAGCCACTTATAATTCAGTGGAACTTTTGTCCAGTAAAATTATATTTTAGAGAAATCAAAATTTGTTAGAGCTCTTAACTCGTACCCTGAATTTCAAAATGTAAAAATACAAAAGTCAAAAAGTGATGTATAAGTGCCACTTACTTTTTAAGAGAAATGAATTGTGATTTGTAAAGTAAAGTAAAAAAAAAAAAATATATGGACTGTGAGTTTATGAATCTAAATTAATTTTAATTTCATATATCCATTTTTCATTCCATTTTCCATTTCCATTTTCCATTTCATTTGCTGAAAGCTATTTTATTAATGTTAGATAATAGTTAAACAAATGTGCTTTTTTCAAAACTGTAACTATCTGAATACCTACAATAAAATACACTACACAATAATAATTGCATACTCAGAATTTTTCTAGGGAGTTTAATCAGACGTTTGGTTTATTTTAGTTATTTATATTTACAATAATAATACAATATTATATACGGGTGCATAAAAAGACAGAGTTTTCGGGTGAGTTACAAGTTACAGTTATTGTTTACAAACGTGAGTTTCAATTTTTATTATTATTATTTTTTTACGATTCATAAAAGTTGAGTTCTAAGCGGTGGTTAAATGAAAATATTAATTAAATAAAAGATACTTTTATAATGATTATGATTATATCTGTGCTGTTTAAATAAAGTAACTTTAATAAAATAATTAGCCGGCTTGAATAGAAATATTTAAGATTATGTTGAGCTCATAGTGGCTGACTCTATTTTCATCATCGTTGTGGCTTTTGTTGTGCTATTCGATTTGGATGTTGGTGATGTGGTTTCATACTCGCCAGAGCTAACCCAAGCCAGGACCATCTTTCGTAATGGTTGTTAAATATTTGCTGTCGGGACTGAAGTCCACATCGTCGGTTTCCCTAGAATGTGAGCTGTGTAAATGTAAAAAAATAAGCATTACAACATGCGCTAGGAAAAAAGTGCATTGCTACTCACTTCATTAGGCAGGTCCTGCGCACTAGACCCATGTTGTGCTGTTGCTGAAGCAACACATGTGTACACCATTTTCGTTTACATGTTCTGGTGCATTACTCCCCTTCTGCCGCTTTTTCTCCGCACCCACTGCTGCTGCTGTGCTGATATTCAGCTGTAAAAGTTCCACGTATGTAACTCTCTCCCTATTTTGCCTATCTCTTCCGTCCAGTGGACAATGAATTAGTAGTGAAATGAGTGGACGACGCTTTAAAATGCCAGTACCGCGGGGTAGGAAGGAACGCCCAACCAAACACTCCATAGCCGAGTTTTCGCCGGAGCCCTCAAAATATTACAGAAATGTTAAGTAAATGGCAAACTTGTTTTAAAAATCAAATAATCTGGGAATTCACTCTTTTGTGTATTCAAACCTGATTGCTATCAGAATCGGAATTGATGGCGATCGTTATTGCGTAATTGTGTTCTGTTTTCCTTTCATATTGATTTACAAACACAATATGGATTAAAAAACACAATTATGCAATTCGGATTGCCACCAATTCCGATTGTGATAGCAATCAAGTTTCATGACAGCTCGGATTGTATGTGTATTTGAAAATTCATGGGATTTGCTCTCACAGGTGAACTTAGTGTGTTCAGTTCTTGGCAAACAAAATTCCTATGTAATTGACAAATACACTTACGATAATTTACACTGATATACACAATAGAGGTTGATATAAGGCATATATATTAATTTTATAAAATCAAAATATATGTTGTTGTTGATTGTTGTTTAATGTAAGCGTTAAGTTAACGATTGGCACCGTAAACTGTCATAAGTCAAAATAAAAGTAACGACATTTTAAAGTTTTCTAGTAAATGTTTGTTCCATCAAAATGAACGACCGTTTTTGTACATCAAGTTTTTTCGACATTGCAGGCATTGATTATGGCATAATCGATTTAAGCACGTTCAATTGATTAAGACGATTCGTAGAATTCAAGGAAAGAAAACAATATTAAATTGATTAAAAAACAATTTAAAAAATCGAAGAATATAAACCGCAAGTGTCTCAACCAATTTAGATTTTGGACGATTAGAAGGGTGCACATGACTAGGTATGTCGCTAATTGACACATTGGAAGAATGATTAAGTGAAACAATATTAATTTAATTTGTGTTTGTTGTAATTACGAAGTACTGGCCTAGTCTAGCAAAATACACTAAGATTCAGCTGCATATTTATGGGTATTTAAGAACTAACTAAGTCGACTTTATTGCTAGACCGGCCATTAACATAGGTTAATTAAGGTTTCTCATGTTAACTATCCATCGATTGTTGGTGAGATATTCCCTGTTGGCATATGCACTATTTCGACCCCTACGTCTGAATGTTTGTACGGACCGCAATGGCCCTTCACAAGGTATCAAATCGTTCCTCCATTGTGCACTGCTCCCTTCTCCGTCAGTGTAATGCTCTGGACAATACCATCGATTCGTATCGTGGAGCATTATGAAGTTATGAAGTACTAAACACGCCAGAACAATTTTTTCAGCATTTTCTGCTGTAATGCTCTGGACAATACCATCGATTCGTATCGTGGAGCATTATGAAGTTATGAAGTACTAAACACGCCAGAACGATTTTTTCAGCATTTGGGTGGAAATCCATTGTTGTTCTTAGCACTCTCCACCTCGCAGTCCAAATACCGAAAGCGTTTTCTATAACGCGGCGTGCCCGCGACAGCCTGTAATTGAAAATTCGTTGTGGTTTTGTTGTGTTCACGCCTGGATATGGCTTCATGAGATTGTGTTTTTAAAAGAAAGGCACAGTCTCCAACGAAATAATGCGGAAAGGGTTGTGATGATGACGGAAGAGGAATATCAGGTGGTAATGGCAATCGATTTTCCAACATATCTTCACCAAATCTTGTTGCATGAAAAATGCCCCCATCACTTTGGCTTCCATAAGCCCCTACGCTAACAGCTGTAAATGTGTATTTAGCATCGCATGCTGCTAACAATATAATTAAAATACATGGATCCAGAATTTGGGAGACATTTAATCGCAATGTCTTTCCGTCGATAGCAGTTGGGCATGTTCCTTATCTGGGCGAAATCGGTGGTGATGTGTTTATATTGCTCCTGCGTGGGTTCGCTCAAATATATTGGAGAAAGCATTGTCCAGATAGCTTCACATGTCTCCAACACAATATTTCTAACAGTCGTCTTTCCAATTTTGTAGCTCCAAGCTAATTTCTTGAAAGGAATGACGTATTCTAGGTACCTAACAATAATTCTTATTATTATCACATATCTCCGTTGTGCAAATCACAAAAACTGTCAGAAGTGTGAGCGATAAGCGCTCTTCGGCATGAATTTGTTCCTTAAATTTGCGCAGTGACGGAGCCATTAACTTAAAAAACATATCGTACAACTGCCGGGTCATTCTTGTGTGGTTAAATAATTCCTTTTCATCCATATCCTTTATTTTAAGAAACGTTTTACGTTGGTATCCGTGCTGAAACCAATCCATGTTAATGGATCTTCTTCTACGTTTTAATTTCCTTCTTTTAGCATATAATGTTATTATATTAAGGAACAAACTCTCAATTTCTTCGTCACTGCTCATGTTGTTAATCACCTGACCATTTCTTTATAAAAAGCGCAATAGTATTCCAATATATAATTATAAATGCAAGTTATTTAATGCACATGCACATGTATTTTAATACTATTTATGTGTTTTCTTACATTTTTCGGGGTTCGCCGGCACCAAGGATCCACAAGCCAAGTTGGTCCTCTTGGATAAGTATATTTCGAGTGTGTTGTTGCTGATAAAAAATCCTCGCCTTAAATACGCACACGTATTAACTCAGCCACTACCTTTTTTTTTAACCGAACTAATGGATTTTCTTTAATTAATTAATTAATTTCCCAATCTGTAATCCAAGTGCGTTGGTTTTCCGCCAAAGGCATATCAGCTGATATCTGAAGTGCGTGTTGTCAGACGTTCAAAACAGAAAATATTGTTCACAGCCAAATGTTTGGCATAAGTGTAGAATATGAACCATTTAGCTATGTAAAAACCAAAAATGTGGCTTGATAGAACTTCTCACGCCGATTTCAACTGTACCAAAATTATTTGGCGCAAAATGCAAGCGACTGTC